ACCCACCAGCCACTCCTCGGAAGGAAGGTTGGGCAATCCTACTTCCGTAGTGATACTGCCTCAGAAACCCAAGGAGGGGTCGCTATGAGTTGGGGCTGACTCGACGGCACACACAACAACAACAACAATCACTACGGAAGTAGATTGCACAGCCTTCCTTCCGAGGAGTGGCTGGTGGGTTTGAACCACCAGACTTCTGGTTAGGAGGCAAATAGAGGTCCCCTGAAACCCCGGAGGCAGTTCACGTCCCCCTTTTCTGTCCTCCATGTAGCCATCTTACCCTCCTTTGGAAAATTGTTGTTGTTGTTATGTGCCGTCGAGTCAGATCTGACTCATAGTGATCCCTCCTTGGGTTTCTGAGGCAGTATCACTACGGAAGTAGATTGCCCAAACTTCCTTCCGAGGAGTGGCTGGTAAGTTTGAACCACCAGCTTTCTAGTTAGCAGTCAAGTGCGTTAGGCACCATGCTGCCAGAGCTCCCATTTGTAGTTTAGCTACATTGATTTCTCTGCCAGTCATATGCGGGACAGAGGATGCTAAAAAAGGAGATGATGAATACCTTTTCTCTTATTGGAAGTAACAAGGTGTAGTTTCTATGTGTGCTTTGTAGATGATAAACTCAACCAGTTTTGGAGCAGGCTGGGGCATTGACAGACTTGAAAGGAGAAAAGCTTTGGCCATACATCTTTAACTTATCAAGCGGCCTCACAGACTTCTTACACATTACAATCCATGACATTTGGCCACCGTGATGAGAAGGGAGTTGTTTTTGTTAGGTGCTGTTGAGTTGTCTCCAACTCATAGCGACCCTATCTACAATAGGATGAAACACCGCCTGGTCCTGTGCCAGCCCCACAGTCCTTGCTGTGCCTGAGCCCGTCATTGCAGCCACGGTGTCAATGCCTCTTGTTGAGGGTCTTCCTTTCTTTCGTTGACCCTCCACTTTATCAACCATGATATCTTTCTCCAGGGAATGGTCCCTTCAGAAGAAAGTAACACTAGTCAACCACAAGAAAGCTGTCAAAGTAAATGTCAACACTCTGCCAGCCCCAGCTCACCTCCCCAGGGATTTTCATATGCCTCACTGGGGATACTTGTAGGTCCGTTATGCATACCCCTGCTGAAAGCTCTGGTAGCATAGTGCCTAAGGCACTTGACTGCTAACCAGAAGGCTGGCAGTTCAAACCCACCAGCCACTCCTCAGAAGGAAGGTTGGGCAATCTACTTCTGTAGTGATACTGCCTCGGAAACCCAAGGAGGTGTCGCTATGAGTCAGGGCTGACTCGACGGCACATAACAACAATAGCTGAAAGTGTAAGTTGGGCTTCAGTTTGATTTTTACTGCATCTGTATTGTTCATTACCACTATGATTATGATTTTCTTTTTCAATACTTTTAATTTTTATTTTTAGAAATGAGGAAACAGGCTTAGTTATTAAATACAGTTCCCAAGGATACATGATGAGTAGTGGCAGCTCCCAGATTCCAACCCAAGTTTCTATGATCTCAAAGCTTATATTCTCTACACATGCAAGGCTCCAGCTACAAATTTATTTCCCATAAAGAGGTGTAAGCAAACATTTCCTTGAATATGAATCACAGAGATCTTTCTTGTTTCACATAACATGTGTTGGTTGCCTTTTATACATAAGCATCCCACCAGATTTTAATCCATCTGTCCACTAAGTAAACAGCCCTGCTTCCCATGGACAGAGAGGTTGCTTATATTCACGTCAGTGAGAGAGTAACCATTTTTTAGAGAGCTTGGAAGATCTACCAATTCCTATACAAATGCTTTAAATGTCCTGAGACTTTTGTTTTTATGTGCCGTCGAGTTGGACCTGACTCATAGCGACCCCTCCTTGGATTTCTGAGGCAGTATCACTACGGAAGTAGATTGCTCAACCTTCCTTCTGAGGAGTGGCTGGTGGGTTTGAACTGCCAGCCTTCTGGTTAGCAGCCAAGTGCCTTAGGCACTACACTACCAGAGCTCCTTGAGACATTTGAGACAAACTTTTTTTTTTTTAAGAGCTATTTTTCTTTTGTTCCCTCAGATTCTCCAAGAGGCCATTCTGTTTAAAACTAAAATCAAATACATCTCAAAAATCTCCAGTGATCAAACTGAAATGCCCTTGTCATGTGTTGTTCGCCAACAGTAAGTACAGTATGCCAGACTCCTGTCCTAGCTCACAGCGTCATCTCTACCTTCCAGTTAAGAAAACCAAATCTAAAAGGTTAAGTGGAACACCCAGGAGTGTGTGTGTGTGGGGTAGTGGACACCAAGCCTAATGAAAACACAAAGCTCTTGATCCCTGGCCCTGTATTCTTAAATTGTCCCCTAGAATAGAAGAATACGTTGTTAGTTGCCATCAAGTTGATCCAAACTCATGGCGACTCCATAAATATCCATAGAACTCTGCTCCACCCCGTTTTCCAGGCGATGGTCTTTCCAAAGCAGATCACCACCCCGTCTTCTGAGGTGCCTCCAGTTGGGTTTGTGGTGCTAACCTTTTGGGTATTAGTTGAGCTCTTAACTATTTGTGGCGCTCAGGGATGAGGCTACTGAAAAATTGGATGATGATTTTTAATTTTTTTGATACAAATGCAAGGTCACCAAAAGCCTGGTAGGTCTTAGCCAGCTAAATCAGATTATTTTAGTTTTAAGCTACAGCCCACATTCAAGATTCTTGAAGGACATAAGTAAGAAACAAGGCTTGGGAAATATCAATTCAGCAGGGAGTCAAGCTGTGGTGAGAAGGAACACACTACAGTGGAATTCACAGGTTAAGATAGGATCTCTTTGTACCCTATTGGTTGAACCTTTTGAGTAAGTCTAAGAGCGTTAGACCAATAACAACTTCCACCAAATCTTATAAAATTGTAATGTACTTGGTAGGACTTTCTTTGGGAAACTTTTCCATTAGGTTTTTTGGTTAAAATCTTGAACTGAGAATCCTTTACCCTCAGTGGTTATAGAAGAGACACACCATGTCGTGGTCTTCCCACAGATTGTGGCTGTGTTGATGATCATGTATTCCTGTACTGTTCCAAGCACTTTATTTGTATGAATGCATTTTTTCCTCATGACAGCCCAACGAGGTAGTTGTTATGTCAGTTTATAGTTGAGAAAATTCAGGCACAGAGAAATTAAGTTCCTTGCCCAGATAATTTGCTGGTAAATGGTGGAGTTAGAAGGTGAATCCAAAGTTTGGTTTCTGAGTCATACTCCTTAGCACCACAAATGCTGCCTTTGACATTCTAAGTAAAATAGGCAGATGTTACTACAGCTACTGTTGTTGTTATGTGCCATCGAGTAAGACCCGACTCATAATGACCCCTCCTTGGGTTTCCGAGGTGGTATCACTATGGAAGTAGATTGCCCAACCTTCCTTCCGAGGAGTGGCTGGTGGGTTTGAACTGCCAGCCTTTTGGTTAGCAGTCAAGTGCCTTAGGCATTATGCCACCAGAGCTCCTAATACAGCTACTAGGAGCAGGAATTTGGCTGTAATTCAGCTTGTGAGCACCATGGTCTGAATAGATCTTAAGGCCCATGTGATATTTCTATAATTTCTCTCTCTCTTTCTTTTTCTTTCTTTTTTTTTTTTTTAAATCATTTTAGTTATACTACTCTTTTAAATGAACTGGAAAGAAGAGATAATTATACCAACAGTGTTGATGAATGGGATATGCAGATGAGAAGACAAGTGGCAAACACAAGCAGAAAAATAGAGATGGTAGTTCCTTCTGCAGTGCGGCCCTGGTAAGGACACTCAACCTGACACTTTAAGATTTTTCTGGCATTCCTACCTAGGAACTGGTAAAGTTTGACTGTGAGGCATCATGTTTTTGTAGTAAGGTGTATTGTGCCTAAAGAGCTTCCCTTCAGGAATGACAAATTCATGCATTCCTGTGTTTGTTGATGGTATTGTTGGTCATGGTAGTCTCATTAATCTGCCATTAACTGGTAGGTTGCCATATAAATAGGAGCTGTGCCTGTTGGACATCATATGAAATTTCATGATCAATGCTTAGGAGAAACACCATCCAATTCAACACTCACAAAGTTTTGAATCCTAAGAAACAATAAGCATCAATACTGAACCTCTGAAGTGATGGCTTAGATATGTTGGTAAAGTGAAACTGGAAGTGTTGTAAAGCTTGGTTACAACATCTTCCGGGAAGGATCAAATGCTTATAAACCAGTATGGTCCTAATTCTTGAGTCACGTGTGAAGAGACAGATGAAAAATCCCAAAGTATGTTAGTCTGTGGATGAAAGGACAGAGTTTTATGTTGCAGAAAGTAGCTAGGATAGTCCTGGTGAACTTAACAGCTTAAAAAAGCAAAAGCACCATTCATTTATACCTGCATTTACCTGCGTTGCACTTCAGTCATTCGTATACCTAAGGATAGAGTCTCCAGGACAGAACATTTCCTCACTCAAATTCTTTTCCCCTCTCATCTTCAGCCTTTCCTTTCCTCCCCACCCCCATCCACCTACACTGCTTTGCTTATGAAAAATGGGCTTTTAAAGAGAAATGACTAATGTCTACATTAAGATCTTGTTATGACTCTTTCTTCCCTTTCAGGGAGAATGGGAATGTTATATTCCCTTGTTTATCAAATGACATACATTTTCTGCAAGAGAAGAAATTGAATCTCCCATTTCTATGTTCAGAGGCAACTTGGGATCTCTGATGTGGTGGCTGCTTGGGACTGAGGACTTGGTGTGGTATTTGGTAGAAATAGAAGAAACTGGCGAAGACCTAATGATAGCCCATCTCTCTTTTATTTTTTTTAAAAAATAATTTTAAATAAAAGGGCCCCTTACGCAGTGCAACCTGGGAGAGACAGGGCTCAACAGGACGGCCTTGCTTTTCTGGGTCTTGTAAGTTTTCTGCCTTCACACAGGTTCCAGCTTTTGTGAGTTTTACTGTATTTCCTTTTTTTAAAGGGGCTGCCCCTGCTTTTAACTTCATGGAGTCTTATGTATGAATAAAGTGTGTTCTATTATGTGGCTATCTCTAATTATTGGAGGACTGACTTGCATGTCATTTTAAGTTTCAGTGCTTACTATAAGGAGGTGTTTAAGGGCAAAATTACTAACTTTTCTCTGCTCGGTGGGTGATTCATGCCTCAGCTAAGACAGTCACAGTTGTATCTGGCAATAGTGCATATCCATCCACTCATTCCATGAACATGCCCTCATGGAGCTTACGTTTTTAGTTGGAAGTGATAGAGTATAAATAAACAGAAGTAAATTATATAGTGTTTGGGGCCTTCTGAGCCCCACCTAGCCAGCCTCATCAGAAGCTTTGGGCCTAGAACATTCCTTAATAATGGAGGCTAGGAACTGAGTTTTGTTCTATCCATTTCTTCTTCTTCCTTATTGGAGAAACTCCTTCCCTGTTCTGGGTACACGGTCTACTTACTGCTTACCTGTGTGTGACATATGGGACATGGCTAACTCCATTTCTGTATCTGTTCCCAGCAGGGAGGGAATGAGTTCCCTCTTCTGTAGCACAAGAGGGGTACGTGCAGACTATCATCCCTAATAATAGGTTGCTAAGAGGAGTGACCAACTGGCCATGAGGGACTGATGTCAACTATTGAAACTGATCTTACTGTGTCTTTTCTATGTGAGTAAACCATTGTGCCATCCGATGCCTGTATATAAGTTGTGTCTTTCCTGGCAACCTCAGACCTTGGCTTGACATATAGATTAGGGGTCCTATTTTGTGGCATAAATTGACTCTCAAACACAACTCAAAATGTATAAGCAACAGAAGATAAATGTCTGAGATCTACTAAAAATTAAACACTTATGTGCATCAGAAGACTTCTCCAAAACAGAAAGTAAATCTACAGAATGGGAAAAAATTTTGGCAATGTCATACCTAATCACTGGACTAATGACAAGAGACTAATCTCTAAAATTTGAAGAAAAATTCAACACCTCAACAACAAAAAGGCAAACAATCTGACTAAATATTGGGCAGAGGACATGAACAGACACTTCACCAAAGAAGAAGACATACAAGTAACCAACAAACACATTAAGAAATGCTCACGATCATTAGCCATTGTTGTCATTAGATGCCACCGAGTCAGTTCTGGCTCATAGCGACCCAATGGACAAAAGAATGAAAGTGTCCAGTCCTGTGCCATCCTCATGATTGTTGCTTCACTTGAGACCATTCCCGCGGCCACTGTGTCAGCCCACTGCACCGAGGGTCTCCTCTTTGTCACTGACCCTCTACTTTACCAAGCATAAAGTTCTTTTCCAGGACTGGTCCCTCCTGGAACATGTCCAAAGTATATGAGATGAGGTCTTACCATCCTCACTTCTAAGGAGTGTCCTGACTGTACTCCTTTCAAAACAGATTTGTTCATTTTTCTGGAAGTCCAAGGTATAGTCAATATTCTTCAAACTCACTGCCATTGAAACAACTCCCACCCATAATGACTCGCTTTGGGTTTCCGAGGCGGAAAATCTTTATGGAAGTAGATTTCCCAGTCATCCTTCTATGGAGTGGTTGGTGGGTTTGAACTGTCAACCTTCTGGTTAGCAGTCAAATACCTTAGGCACTGGTTAGCAGTCAAATACCTTAGGCACTATGCCACCAGAACTCCCAATATTCGTCACCACACTATAATTCAAAGGCATCAACTCTTCTTTATTCATTGTCCAGCTTATATATGCATATGAGGCAATTAAAAATACCATGGCTTGTGCCTGGTGCACCTTCATTCTCAAAGTGGCATCTTTACTTTTGGACACTTCAAAGCAATCTTTTGCTTTGGATTTGCCCAATGCAATATGTCATTTGATTATTTGACTGCTGCTTTCATGGGCATTGATTGTGGATCCAAGTAAAATGAAATCCTTGACAACATCAATCTTTTATCACTTTATCATGATGTTGCTTACTGGCCCAGTGGTGAAGATTTTTGTTATCTTGATGTTGACGTGTAATCCAAACTGAAGGCTGCAGTCTTGTGCTTCAAGTGCTTCAAGTCCTCTTCGCTTTCAGCAGGCAAGGCTGCATCAGTTACATATCTCAGGTTCTTAATGACCCTTCCTCCCATCCCGATGCCATGTTATTTTTATAGTCCAGCTTCTCAGATTATTTTCTCAGAATACTGATTGATAAGTATGG